TCGATAATGTTTTAAAAATAATTTTTTTCATGACGGTCTTTCAATTTTTTTCTTGCTGCAGTATCGATGTAGGTATACGGTAACTATCTTCTGGATATTGTTCTCAAGACGACAGACGGTAGTAATAATGTGTATTTAAATTACTGAACGTGTTTATTAAGGCGGCACGTCGTTCCGTTCGGCTGTAGTACCAAAACAAAAAAAAAAATATTACTAAAACCAATTATTATTTACTACGTTCGCCGGAGGTGGATTCTACCCCTCGACACAGTACATGTTAATTTCATTGCGTTACACTCTTGCCGGTCCGTTTTAAAACTGCAATGGTCCAATGTTATTATGTACTTATCACTGTAAACCGTACAACACTCGACGACGAAATTTGATTGACATCATCAAAGCGGTTGCTGTTACCCGTTCGGCGTTCGATTGTCCGCGTGTATACCACCCTTGTGTCATTCCCCCCCCCTACCGCCCTAAACATTGTTTACGCTCTTACAAAAGATCAGTCTGGTCGCATTAGTGATGTACGTAAATAGTAATAGAAAAAAAAAAAAAAATCTTAAACATTACGCTATTAAAAAGCGAAAGAGAGGCTTTTAAGTACTCTTGGCGACCAACGTCCGTGAACAAAAACAAAAATACAACGCGGGGTCTGCTGCACTCGAGTGGCCCGTGAAATCTATCAGTTGTCAATCAAGTTTTCGAGGGTCTCGTCTCTCCACGTGATTGTGTTTTAGGAAAATAAAAAAAAATAAAACATAATCGAGCCTCCCCTTCTACGGCGCGGAAATAAGTAAATACAGATGAAAAGGTATTAGGTTCGCCCGAAACGGCCGAATGTGTATATTCCTGTCAACGTATTAGCAAATAATATAATTAATATTTTTCAAAAAACACCACGAAAGACGAGAAACAAGTATCAAAAATGTATCTACCCAAAAAGGTCAAACATTTCTGGTACGGTCGCACGAGTTAAAATGTCAAGTAGTTTTTCCAATTTATTTGTATCCCATGTTACAACAGCTTTTAACGGTACGAAATAACAATATATTATAATAAAATACGTGTATACATTATTTTTATTGTATAGCTGTTCAAACAAGGCTATAAAATATTTGTTTTACTTTTCCATTGTTCTCCAGGACTTGTGCGTTTGTGAAGTGGTTTGTTAATAAGTGCAATGTGAAACAAAACAATCCATAGTCTAGAATTATGCCGCTTGGTAGGACAGCAAAAATAATTATTAGTATTGGGTAGGTACTTTGAATATAAATATGCGAATTAGTTGGCCATTGCGATCAAATGAAATGTATAATTGTTGGTGCTTACTATGTTTGTTTGTTTGAAGGTTCAACAATATCTTATTTTGTATACTACAAACTGGTTTAATTTGAACATAGAAAAATGTGTGCAATTTTTAGTTATTCAATTAATTTTTAACTATTAATAACTTATTAACTATCGTTAAGTCAATCGAACGGAATATGCCTATAATGGTTGTAATAATTGTATATTTTTTAATTTGCACAGCACTATCTACTAGTATGTAAAACACAAAAATGTTTAAATAATTATTATTATAACTTTAAAAATAGTAATCAACCAGTCGAAATTGTTAGTACATTATTCTCAATTTAAAAAGTTAATAAAATATATACGTTACAAGTTTCAAAAGTTGCTATCGAAAAAACTAAGTTGGGAGGGGAGTAAAAACAAAATAAATTGTGAAAAATTAAGATCACATTGTATAAAAAAAAATATGAAAAAAAAATTAATTTCTTATTAAACCCTGTGAGATATTGAGTGATAAAAAAATCACCCTGTATATATATTGTTTTAACCATGTCCCAAGTATATTTCCGGTTTTACGGGTATTTATATTTCTTAATTATTGATGTGTAAAATACCTACATTGTATTCGACAATGATTTTAGTAGAAAAATAATACTGTACAAATTAGTTATAAATATGTAGATCAGTCTTTCGATCATATAATGACTGTAATTTTATGACGACCATGGTTTTGAAATCAATAAAACACCGGTATCGACTTAAGTAATAAATAATATAATGTATCCATTGAAATGCCGGAGTAACTTTTGAATTATTGAAATGGCCTGAACTATTGTTCTCGGAACAATACTTGTTAAATCAATAAACCAACATGATTTACAGTAATGATTTCAAACATTCTAAATAAGACAGCAGACTGATTGCGTTGAACGTGTATTGAAAGATACAACCAATATCGAAGGTGTATTAGAAATGTATTGATAACTAACCACGTATTAGTTCATGTCTACGTGGAAACCATTAATTCCACTTAGAAAAACAATGAAAATAAAATATTTCACACCTGAGTTGTTACAAAAATAATTATAATATTTTCATGTCGTAACTCGTACATACTTCAAGTTCAGTAAGGCTCGGCAGAGATTGTTCAAACTTTTGTTTTGAAGTGCATACAATATAATTATAGTTTTAGTTGAATATTTCAGAGGGAAAAATAAAATATGTAGGTTTTTGTTATCTCAAAGAAGAAGCTACGGTTCCCTTGAAAATTTGTTTGAGGGGAGTACAAGGTCTCATTATGGTACATGCAATATTATGCATTCTTATTGAAAATAGAAAAGCTTGGCATTCTGTCCGTTTGTTCGGTTTTCTAACTCCAAACGGGCAGAAGTTATAGCTAATCTTTCTGTTCTCTGTCTCAATCTCATAATTTTGGACTCTGAGGTAAACATTTTTTTTTTGGTTATGTTATCATGTCAACCAACAGTCATTAAATAATATTAAAACTGTTCATAAATGTGTTAGTGAATTCGACTTCGAGAAAAGTGCGTGACAGTGATTTTATCAAATGGTTTCTCTGGGCAGATACGCTTTTAATTAGAACGAATAGTAAATGCGATTCACCGTTCTTCGGAATTGTTTTAATTCTATTTAATAACCCATTAACTCGGTCGGCCACGAAGAGAACAATTTGCAATTATAATTCCGAATCTTTCAGTAAAAAAGAACACTAGTTTAGTCCCTTCGAAATAACCAAAGGAGTGTCTAACATGGAATTCTGGTACGTTTGTTGTAAATGCTAAATATAAAGTTCAAATTCCACCGGATCCTCGGGAAATACAATTTAGAAACTTAAAGCTCGGCTATTTTCATTATTTCTATTATGTGTTTTAAGTGCATTGTAATCTAGTAATTCAAGTCTTTGACATTAAATAGCCCGGAAAGTATTAAGGCGACAACGCTGCAGGGGTTGGATTCGGTGTAAAAGGGAAATCGTAGACTTAAGATTGATTTTGTTTATTATAATTAACGTTGAAATTTTGACCGGATGAATCCAGATAAAAAAAAATACAAGCTATTATTCTACACATTTTTTTTGGTAACAAAAATAAACATGAAATGACCGTTAATTATCTTGGACAAAAAAAAATATCACAAATCCGAAAAATTATATTTAGACTAGATTATCATAAGCATAACTCCCAAGTTCACATAAATTACTGAGTGATTCACCATTCAAAAGCCTCGACTGCAGGGTCATTGGTGTACAGTTTTGGTATACATATATTATATAGTATAATGGGAAGAATTAAAAATACATTAAATATACAAATAGCTTAGATAAGGGAGAGTGGATGTGATTTTTTTAGAAATTGAATGATGTTACGTTCTGCCTGAAGGTTGGGTTGAAGTGCTGCCTGGAGGTGATCTGGGATGTTGAATTATTTTCGGATGTCTCTTGTAATTTATTATTTAAATGACTGTTATACACTTTTATAAATAATTAAAAATGTTAAATATTATTCAACGTACCATAAACAATAATATTACATATTACTATATTATAATATTAAGATTAAAAAAAATTCTGATGGAGCATCTCGCATGTCGTCCGTGAAATTACTCGGCTATATTCTTAGAGGACAAATCAGTGTATTAGATATTATATAATAGTGTATTTTTTATATATTCATATATAAACAATGATATTATAATTCCTTCAAAATATGGCGGGTTGATTCCATGATATCACACAATTGTCCGGGGCCTGGTTTTACATAATATGTTATCTTTTTTTATAGTTTTAGTATATCATCAAAAAATATGGGGGCCAATGAAATTCTAAAGACTTGAGTGTTTGTTTTCCATATAGTCTAACACCAGTTGAGTGTGCACAACGGTATAACGTAGCGCAAGTTGGTGTCCGGTTAAAACATAATACCGTTTTATGCTCCCGCCCTACAATTTTGGTGACTTCGACTTGATAGCTTATTTTTAATTAGTTAAGAATTAGCACTATAACTCTTTTTAAATTATTATACTTATTGTAAGAGTGATTCGAAGTGTTAGATAAGAAATATAAAGAAATATTAGTCACCCTAAATAGAAATCTTCCTTCGCACGTTTACGGAAATTTGTATCAAAGTTTGACCCAATTTCCTAACCAGTATTCTTGCTTGAATTTTGGCAAGAGTCGATACCGCCACGCCGTTAAATGCTGAGATGGAGCTTATTGCTGTTGATGATGTGGCGGCACGAGAGACTGGATAAGATAAATCCGAGGAAGTATATTTTTCAACAATATCTCGAAATTATGGTTGTAAGAAATGACTATGATAATAGATGAATGCACACAACCGACAAGGTAGAAGTTTGGCAGAGTAATGCAATTAAATCCAAAAACAGAGGGTGATATCATAATAAGAAGTGAAATTAAACGATGAAAACACTGTATACTTTTATAACTCTATGAAAATAACACAATATACATATAAAAACATAGTAACAACACAACTATTAATATCAATTAAAAAAAAATAAAAATTTATATTTAAAAATCAAATTTCATCAGAAAAATACTCTTTTATATAATGGCTCGATATAAAATACATATTTATAAACACAATAAATAAACATTTTTTTAACAATTTAAAAAAAATTACATTTTAACTTATTTCTTAAAATTTATACGAGCTTAGTTTAATATGAGTGGTCAACAACTGCAAATGATCTCTTGCTCTTCGGTATTTTTATTATTTTTGTTATTAAATTACAATGGTGCACGTGTTACAGGTCAAAATTACTCTAGCAATCAGCCTTACGATAATGACTTTATTAATTTTATTGCGTATGGTCGGGACTACGATAAACATAAACATCCTTATGTAGTATCATTGATAGCTACCGACAGTTATCAATGCACTGGTACGTTACTAAAACCAACATTCGTGCTCACTGCTGCTCACTGTACATGGGGATACAAGGCGGACGATATTGCAGTATGTTAAGTATATGTTTAGTCTATTTTTTTATTATATATATTTATAATTCGTAGTTTTTATAACAGGTAATTCACGGCGCAGTCGGTGTTTATATGCAAGATAAGCCTAAAGATTATGGCAATAGTCAAAGAGTGGGTATTAATATTTGGCAACACGAAAAATATCACGATAAGTATAACGATTGGCCTGATATAGCTATGGTCGAAGTAAATCACGATATATTGTATAATTAAACTGTATTATAATTTCCTTCCGTAATGATTTAAATAATTTCAATTATTTAGTTTTCCATCGATCCACGATAAACGTGAACAAACAAATTTGTATACCTACGATAAATAAAAACAAAACAATTAAGTAAATTACCAATTTATAAAATCGACGAATTCGCTTATTTAAATAGAATACAAATAATTATAATAACTACAAGAGGTAGAAAATATCGTAGATTATCGCCAGTTCGCAAAACTGAAAGCGTTTAACTATCAATTAAAGATGTTTTACAATCAATCGTTTTATCATGTGATACAAAATAAACGCAAATAAAGAATCTGGGAGGGTATTTTAGAGGGGAAATGGTAAACTGCGCCAAAAATGACACTTTTTCTATAAGCTGATATGTAAACTGCGGCAAAAAAAATTTAAACATTATACAAACTGCGACAAAAATGATAAGGCGCATTCTACAAACTGCGACAATTTATTTTATATGCCTACTATATAGGATATAATATACTTATATTAGCTATATACAATAATACATACTGATACGGTAGCATATACTTGTGTAGTACAATTTTGCGATTATTTAACAGAAACTTATATGTAAGGTATATTCCCTCCTTCTTTGTGGGCATCATCATCAGAAGTTTTAACAAATAATGTAAGTGAATATTTCCCTTCAAAATTTAATGCATATTTTTATCATCATTATCATCCGTCGCTATGTACATTTATACATGTTCTACAATATATTCAAGTTGATACATACATAAAAGTTAGGAGTGCAGAAGAAGGTATAATACAACAACGAAACAAAATTACTACTCAAAAATACAAATTTATAAACGAACAACAAAAAAAAAAAATGTAATATTATTTAAATTTTTTATTTTCTTAGACAGTATTATATTACAGTAGTCTATAAAACTTATTACTATTATTAGATGTACAATTTAATGTTAGTTAAATAATGATATTTTTCAAATTAATATGTATTTTAAAATTGTTTTTTTATTTTAATTTTTACACCTTTACTCCTATTGACTATGTGCACACCATAGATCTATAATAATACATGGTACAAGATAGCATTCTTATCGGTATTCAGTATGTATTATAGTATATTATATACTATATAGTAGGTATATCAAATAAATTGTCGCAGTTTGTAGAATGTACCTTATCATCTTTGTCGCAGTTTGTATAATGTTTAAATTTTTTTTGCCGCAGTTTACACATCAGCTTATAGAAAAAGGGTCATTTTTGGCGCAGTTTACATACAGCCTTTTAGAGATCACGGAGTAGGGATCTAAAATTAATTTCCGAGAGGCGAGAAGATAGGAGGCTCCTATTTTCATTCAATAAGAATAACAAATGATTTTTCTAAAGAATAATCTCGCCACTTAGTTTCTTCGTAATTTGTTCAAACGGCTAGGTGGTAATCGAACAATAACGTTAACCGCGATAAATAAAATAATAAACATTCCCATAGATATCGAGACCGTTTGATTGTCCGTTTTACATCGAAATAGGCGGAAATCCGAATGAGTTTAGCATGAACAGAGCGTTGAATTGCATCGGAATAGGATTCGGTAGAATGGAAACGGGACAGGTACCGTGGCATGTAGGAAAAGAGTATAATTGCCGAGTTAGGCACGGTCATAGAGCATGCCCGAGATATACCGGTAATATGTTTTCGATAATCGACGCGAACAACTAAAACTCGCTTACACGTGTAATCAATTTGTTTGACTTAAGATCGTAAGATTTGGAGGATGTATATGTGTATCCAACAAGGCAGAGAACAGATATGTTCGGGCGATAGTGGCGGTCCGACGATCTGCAACGGAAAACAATATGGAATCACTAAAGCCGCTTACGGTTTGAACAACAAACCAGACTACGCGTGTGGAGATCCCGTTGCAATAACGATGCACGTGTTTGTACATTTCTTTCGGGATTGGATTTCGGCTATTGTCGGCCCATTGGAAAGTGGTGGCGGAGGTGGCGGCGGCGGTGGTGGCGGCACCGGAGAGCAAGAAGAAGAGTATGAAGGGTACGGAGAAGATGATGGCGAACAAGAATATGGCACGCAATACGCAGCAGAAAACACCGGATCAGCAATAAGTACACACATCTATTTTTCACTTAAAATCACATTATGTATCACATTCGTTTGAAAATGTTCCGTTTGAAAATTGTAATATATTAAACTTTCAAAATAATAATACGGTTGGTTTTTTTTTACCAGTAATCTACTGAAAATGTCGATTGGAAAATGTATTACATTGTAAAACGTCTAAAAATGTATTTAAAAAAAAAATCTTGACATACATTATATACATAGATGTGTATATATATATTATTTTTGTTGTTTATAAAGCCAGTCCAATGGGAACTATAGAAAATGAATTATTACATCTGAAAGGGACAAAAATAAACGGTTCTATGTGAATCTGTAATGGTAGAAGTACAAATGTCGATAAAAGTACTGTACGCAATGGCAGTAATGTGCTTAGATCACAAGGGACGCATCGACTACACCTTGAGGAGCTCAAAAGCAAAAGTATGAACCTATTCACAAGGCTGAGGGGTAGCTTCAGAGACAAATGGCGCTACGAAAGACCAACTGATAAGATATGTGAACAATTGACCAGACATGTATACGGTATCGCGGTTTCTGACAGTAGGTAAAAAACCGCATCTCCATATATTATAAAAAAAAAAAGTAAGGAGTATTACTATTATCTGATTATCGGTTTTATCGACGGACGACGGGGCGAGGTCGATAATATTATTCAATAGTATTTAATATGCTACCCGTTTTGAAATCCCAAACAAATATGGATAAAAATTTCAAATCTTTACAACGTAATAAGTAGAAAACCGATTGATGAAAATTAGAATTCAAACGCTAAAACTTTTTTAAAAATGTTGTCTACAGATTTATGAAATTAAAAACATACGTTCCCGTTTAAAAAAACAAATGCGATACTTGTTTTACACATAAGGGTTGAAGATAAAAATATTCTAAATATTGAAAAATTTAGTAAAATATGTACCTAAAAGTTTAGAAAAAAAAAAATTCTCAAAATATTTATATTTTCCGAGAAAATGAGTGTCTTACGTTAGTTGGATCACCCTGTATACTTAATATAAGGTCTCTAAGTGACGATCATTTTTTTATATTATATATAACACAGTGAAATATGGATAACATAATATAAACATTGCCGTCACTGCATATGACGGCCAAGCTTATGTCCTTGACTTAAAATAACTATTGGACTTCTGAGGTTGACATTTTGATATAAGCTATGAAAAATATTAACGCTGATCTTTCAAATAATATTTTTATTATTCCACTCGATTTTAATTTTTTTCTTTCTCGTGCACAATTAGAACACGTAGACTTGTCACAAAACAAAAAAAACACACTCAAAAAATGTCGCGAATTTTCTGAGTTAACTTTCAACTTACCCAGATTTATTTCAGCTTTGACTATTTAGTCATTTAAAAGAGCCCCAACGTTCTGATTATAATTTTTAATGACCATTATACACTTTTATAAATAATTAAATGTTAAATACTATTCAAAGTACCATTAAGTTTAGTATTATATATTACTATATTCAAATATTAAGTATTCAAATGCTCTGACGGAGCATTTCACTTCGTTTCAAGTATAATTGAAATATTTATAAATTAAAACAAAATAATACATTTTTTTCCTTTTACTTAAAGCTTTTTATGCAAGTATTGTACATTTTTTTTTAAATTTAATTAAAAAATGAATAAACTTTTATCATTGTTTTTAGATTTTAAATAATTATAACTTTATTTTATCTGAATCTAAATGGAATTATACGAATATTCTGTGTTCTACCGAGAAGCTCTTACAACTTACAAATAATTACTTAAGTGTTGCGCACTAATAAACTAATACATATACTGTATATCATATAAATTATATTTTATTTGAAAACCCTTTTATTTTCATATATATATATTATATATATATATATATATATTTATAAATTGTATTAAGCGTTATGTACTTGTTTATAATACAAATCTTCCAAAGATTTTTCTTTGATTTCCGCATAAAAGAGAATTATTAACATAATTGATTAGTTAAAATTAGTGTTTTCCAGGTTTAAAATTCTAATTGAGTCTATGACATGTTACGATAAACTTAAATTTACTGATGTAAGTCATCTAAGCTCGAACATGGGGGACGAATAGACCCACATTGAAAGAGCAAAATTCCCTGTGGGCCCTTGTATAAGTTTATCTATTTACCTACATGGTACAAATATAGTTATACATTATTATTATTGTTACTTTTCAATAGGTCTCCATACTACAACTAGTGATTAGTTTGTGTGGTTTGTCTCTTTAATTTCTTGATGGAGTATAAGTTATATACCAAAGTCTAATCTGCCAACTCTTCACTAGTAAGTTGCGAGTTCGAAACCAAAATGTGTATAATCATACTTAAGGAGTAGCTTGTTAGTTGTTTCAAGACTTATTAGTTAATTTAGATATAATTATAAATTTTGAGTAAGGTTTGTTAAAACGGTGTAGATTTAGATGAAATGAATTATAACGCTGCTAATAAAAGTTAAGTGCTTACACATCTATTGTTGTTTTAAAATAAAAAAATAATTTAAACAAGATATTTCTAGTATTGTGATTATTATAGTTCCAAAAAGTATTAGAGAAATATTTTTTTATTAATATTCTATTTTAACAATTACTGTTTTTAAAAATTATTTTTATACGTTTTGGATGCTTTTGGTCACTTGAGTTTTTAAGGCTACATTTTTACAGCAAGTATAACTCAATTGCCACAAATAATAGAATATATTTGTGCCGAATAATTGGTCGTCCCTATTGAAAACTCATAAGATACCACTCGTACATACCACTATCATTATCCCACTAACATTTCCCCCATAGTTCAATATGAAATTAGTTTTGTAATAATTAATTGCGAACTATTGTTTTGTTTGCTCTGAATAGTTCCATAGGAATCCCTTCACCAATTAATGTATTTATTATGGTATTTATTGTTTTGTTACTGGACAGCTAAATAGGCATTTTGTGTTCTGTTTGATTTGACATTGCGTGAGTAGGGTTTTACTTTTCGCATGAACCAACAACCTTTTTCAATTATAATGTGTAATCTGAATTAATGCATAATTTGTTTAAACGACGGCATTACTATTTGCTGTTTTGTGTTGTAGCCTCTAACTGTTTATTTACATTACAGTAGGTACACATAGATGTTACCTAATGATAAACAATTAATATGCTTAATGTGTCGTTTCGTAGTTCGAAGTATTCATTTTAACTTAATAAATATCAAAGATGCGTAATATGTAATTGAAGTACTAAAAACTGATCAAACATATTATTTAGATAACTGTATACCTCCAACTTGCAATATAATTGTAAATAGTTTTAAATTAAGTAAATATTCAATTTTATAAAATATATAAATATATAATTTCTTTATAACTACAATCCTTAATTGGATACACCACGAATGTACCTTGATGCAAACGTTTTGGAGACGGTGAAAATATTGGTCATACAATAAATTCGTGAAAAACGGGTTTGGTAACATTTTTGTTGGTAATAATCGCCAAATAAATATGAATGACATGGTTCTAGAAAAATAAAAGCGCACACTGTCAACAAGGTAGAAACTTGACAGAGTCGTTCTGTTACGTCCAGGGAGTGATGCCACAATAATTAGCGAAGTAAAATATTGATCACACTGTATACTTGTTACTTTTCGGAAGTAACAGCGTGTACATGGTTATGATATGCATAACCATGACAGAGGCATTTATTTGCTGCCTGAATTCTTGCCCCTATTTCTTTTTCGATTGCATTTCTCTCTGAGAGTATAGACCCTAGGGTATATGAATTGTTTTGTTCTTTTGAAATTTCAGCTGTTGACATAAAGAGTTGGATATAATCTTATGGTGTCTCGTCTTCCTACGACCATGTATTCCGTTTTGTCTTCATTAATATGAAGTCCAATTTTCAGTGCTGCTTTATCCAACCGACTTAACAGAGATTTTAATACCAGACAACAATCTATCGGTTAATTAAATTTCTGTTATTGAAACCTATGTACTATAACAGTAATTCCACTTATTTAGAACTTAACCGATTTACTGGCAACATTTATCGATATTTAACATTTCTCATAAACCATATTCCGCGGTTCACCGTAAATTAGTGCCTACCTAACAAATTCATTTGACTATCCTCATATCCTTAAATATATATCCTAATATCCTTACATTTTCTTTTATCCTTTTATCCCAATATCCTTTTACCTTTAATCTATTATCTCTAATACATTATCTCAATTTATCTCTTTTCTCTTATCTCTTATCTCAGCAGCCGCCGAGTGTGACATCCAGCGTTACGTTTTGGACACATTTTTAAAACCTGACCCTCAGCCATAAAACATATACATGTTAAAAAAACAACTAATAACAAAATAACTAAAAAGCGTAGAATACAAATGATAATATTGCAGATGTGAATAAAAAGCAAAAAATGTGCAGCTAACGGGTGGAGGTGTTTTTTCCGCTACTTTCGTTCTAGTTTCAAAACTGGAAATAATTGTATATGTTTGAAAATAAAAAAAATTAATCTATTTTCTAAACTCTTTAATATCAGCTAATTTCTAAACTCTTTTGGTTTTAATTATCTAATTTCTAAACTTAAGTGAGTGTTAAGCATTCCTATGTTTGAAATTTTATTTTAAAAAAATTAGTTTAAAATAAATACCTGATGTAGCTAAATTAGCTCAAAATGATTCGAAGAACTCACAACTTTATAAAAACATTTTTTAAAAAGACTGATAGGAAAAACTGTTACTTTATAATCAATACTAAAAAAAATTGAACATTCGTTTAACTCTGTGGCATAGTTTATTATATTTAACTGGATATTTCGTGTAAATTGTGTGCAATTTGTATTGTTAAGTTATTTAAATGTACATATACGAACAATTAAGTACAAAAGATTTGTATTTTTTAATATAATTATTTATTTGCATTATTTTTTCCCCTAAACTCTATAGGCAGTGTGGAGAATAGAGAGTAGGTAAAGCGGAGGCAGAACATTGGGGTGGCCGACCCCACTTGTGTGAGTTAAGGCGGAGAAGAAGAAGATCAAGCTAAAAATACAGTTGCCAAAGTACAATTGAGTTTTTTACATACAATTTTGCGCTCGTTCCTCACCGGTTGTTGGAAATCATTTGGTTTTTCTTTGTGTTCGCTTTGCACCATCAACACAGGGGCTAAACATATTGATAGGTTTTGGGCGGACATCTTATTCCGGGGCGATTGCGACACGACTAATGCTAAATGATCCATAATGTACGTCAAAGTGGCCTGTACAGAACAAATAAATAGCGGTTAATTTGAGTTCTGAAAAATGTCGACTTGCGACGTGAAAAATATCAGTTGATCACATACTCTATTGAGTTTCGGCAGACAATCTAATATTGACAACATTAATTTGGCGTTGGCTTGCGGATCGTCCGGTAGTAAAACCGCTAACGCATCGAGAAGCATCTGATATAGACTTCGGGCGAACAGCGGTTCGGGCAGTTCCCTCAAGTAGTCTTTCAAAACCCCTAAAATCGCAAATGGCATTGGAAATAGGTACACTGCTGTTATTGTTCATATTATCACACACTCTACCTGTTATCACATTGATGTCGGGCACGTTGTCGGGCGACAGATCCACATTTCTGGCTTCTCGCAGGATTCGCTTTTTAGAGGCAGAACCGCACAGTCTGTAAAGACCAATGATATCCAATCCTCTGGGTTCTATTTCTTCGATACACCTCCTCACGACCACGGGTACGGACGCGGTGGCCGGAGCTTGTGACAGCGACGACAAGGAACTGGATATAGCACCACTCTCCTCCCTGGTGACGACCGTTTCGAGATCGGTGCCTTGAGAATTGGGAAATAATTAAAAGTTAAATAGGATATTTTTTTCAAAACACAGCTGAACTTACCGAATATACCGGTATCATATTAAAATCACGTGTAACATTTTGGGTTTAAGTTAAATAATAATATTTCATAACGTTTTAAGAAGTCATATTGTAAAGCATGTTTTTATTTTTTTAAAAGTTGTAACTATATACAGGGCAAGACACTATAATTTTCCATAAAAATGTAGACAATTTTAAAATATGTTAGCGTTTGAATTTTCATTAGCCTGTTCGTTTGTACTTATTTTACGTACAAGGAATGAAAGTAAACATTTTCTAAGTATTGAAAAATATAGTGTAACATGTACCTACAAATATAGGCAAAAAAAATTATTTTCAAAATATTTATATTTTCCGAGAAAACGAGTGCATACACCGAATGGATCACCCTGTATATAGTTGTGTATTGTATACGTTCGGCATAACGATTTCAACCACCACTGATTATATCAGTAAATTTGTTTTATTTTAGTAATTAATTGAATTAACATAATATGTACCTTTTAGGTACTAACCGTTTTTCTAATTTAAGTTGGTCAGCAATCTTTTGTCATACATCCGGTTCCGGTCTCTAAGAAGGACTTCAAGCTGCAGCTCAACAACAGTGTTGGATCTCCAAGGTATTTTATAATTTCGTATACCGCGTTAAGTAAAATAGATAAAGTAGTAAAATAGCGACTTGGTTTTTAAAGCCCTTGTGTCGATAAACTTATTTCGAGTAAGTACATAATATTTTAGCTTAAGTGTTTCGACACCAGGGCAATTGCCCCGAGTTCCCTAACATATTAAACAACAATATCCGTATTAACACAGTACATATTTATTAGGTGATCATTAATTAAGTGTATTAGTATCACTAAGGTTTTCACAAGAAAGGGAATAAACAGGACTGCGATAATTATAGGGGAATAGGTTTTTCTCAATGTAACATACAAAGTCTTTTTAGTCTCTATTGATAGTAATAACACAACAGTCTTACTATCTTGCCGGAGTTTACAATTTTTCTACACAAACTTAAATAACTAATAATTCACACAACTTAGTCGACGGCCAACCACATGAATACGGCCACGGCGACGATGGCTGAGGCGGCGGCCAACCAAATGAATGCGGCCACAGGGATGACAGCTTGCATAGATAGAGAAAAAAAACCACGTGATGGGTTCAAACACGGCGGCCGTAGACAACTAATAATTGTAGTGGTCTCCAACAAGATAGCACGGCCGTTTTTCCACACCTGAAAGTCTGTAGATATGAGAGTTCAGTAGAGCCAAACAAGTTAAATATACCTGGGTTCAATATTAACAGAGAGAGAAAAAAAAGGAGACTGACAAAGAAATATTATCAACGCGTTGCAGTATGTTGCTTTTTGTGGAAACTAATGAATGTGTTACCCTCAGCGTGTGGCCCTAAAGCCACACGGGGCTCGGCAGTTCACCGCCTCCGGACCGAACCGTCGATGGTATATGCAAGTATGGTGCAAGTTCTACCGGTGCGGGTTCTACCGGTGCCGCGTCCCACCATTTCTGTTTGGCCTTGAACACGAGAACAATTTTTATTTAAACTAATAACTATTGTGCTGACACTGACAAAACAGCGAGCCCTGGTCGAAGGTGTGTCGTTGAACATGTCATCAAACAATATGTATGTGCATACGCGTACCTTATGGAGCAGGTAACCGCCGCCAGTTACCGTTAGAACGGCGCCGCCGGCCCACAAAATCTTCTCCATAGAGCACATATTTCAGAATATTAGATATAATACTTGAAACGCAAAAACTGTATTTCCAACAAAAATGTCGTTTGCTCGTGAAAAGCTGAAAAACAACTGAAATCTGAGACGGTCGTCATCGCAGCCGTTTCAGCATAGTAACACACATTTCAGCCAGCAACCAATGTACTCACGACTGGTGAGCACAGTAGTGGTAATTTATTCAATTCAATTGAATTCTAGTTAAATTAAGAACAAAAAACATATTAAAAATCAGTGTATATTTTCATTTAGTTGTACAAAGATGCGGTTTACAAATTATATTCGTATAATATTGTTTTGTTAGATAGATAGTTTGGTAAATTAAACGATCACAATGTATACAATATATTTTTGCATTTTTCCCTTAGTAAGTTGATTTTCGTTTGCATGAAAAAATTAGAATTTTACGGATAAATTAATTGTATAAGTAGGTAGGTACATAAAAAACAGGAAATACCCTATCACATATGTAAAAAAAAAAAAAACAATTAGAAGTTAGTATGCGGTCTAACCGTAACACACACAATATACAGTTGTTAGTTATTATAATATTATTAGCTAAAACGATATTTCATTAGTAATTTATCTGAGTTTTTGTTCAGATCCAATTTTCTTAAATATTACATTAAGGCTATATAGGACGTACAAGCAATTTGTTTTTTGTAGTTATCACGTTAATAACTTAAAGCAAATTCTAGTAGAACATACCTAGTCAATACTTTAATACATAATTGAATATTTTATGTTAACTCCTACATTTTTTATTTGGTTATTTTTTTTTTTCATTTAAATTGACACGAGTCCATTATTAGTTAACGTGTTAAAATTATAAATAAAACAAATTTTAATATGTATAGCATACATATGGGTATGTTAAACCGAGTAATTAACAAAATGGTTAGTAAAATAAAAAAAATAATGGTAATTAGGAATAAGGTATAAAAAAAAAACATATGTTTTATAAGTCAGAGGATCATTATTAGTGTTTGACGTTTTAGGTACATTCTTAATGAATAGGTATAAACAATGTTTTGGTATTTTCAACAAGGATCGATTTAAAAATCTATAAACACATATATAAATATATAATAATAGCTAAATAAGAAAAACAAGACTTGGGAGTCAATAAATTATAAATTGACCACACCAGTTTATTATAATATGTATGTATATATGTAGGATTGGTGTAATTTATAATCCAAGACTAAGAAATGGTGTGGCGTTACAAAAATGTTAGGCAGCAAAACAGAGTACACACAAGTCATTTATATCTTTAAAGTGCAATATATATATATATATATATAATGTTTCTAGAGAGCATAGGAACAAATACATTGTTCAATAATTAGCTAACATAAAATTTATAAGCATATTATATATATATATATATATATAGTTTTATCACTTCAAACGTTTCACCTAGTTGATTAACATATTATAATGATATCTTGTGGGGTACATTTGTTGTGGTTAGACAAACGATGAATTTCCAATATTATTGCATTTATTTTTCACTCTGAACTGTAGTTTAGTGTTCAGTTTTTTTGATTTTTTTTTGTGTTGACAAATTCGTGAAAACAGAGAACTTAAATATAGTAGTTATATTATAATTTTTGCTATAAAAAAAAAAAAACTATTCATTTACTTTTAATTTAACCAAAATAGTGCTCATTTATATTTCTATATGTATATATATATATATCGTTTTTGGAATAACACATACAACGTTTGGTATAATTTTTCTATTTTTTCCATAGGGTTTATATTTTATTGTACTAACGAATGTCACTTCAATTATCTTTGTATATCGATTATTATTGTTAACTATTGGGTATTTGAAGTATTTGCAATTGTATACAATTATTAGGTTATGCCCGCTTGTGCTTTTTTTTTTTGAATGAAACGTTTGCCAAATTTCTACCGCTGTCGAATAAGTACCTATTTCAGTATTTGATTCATATATTATTATGCTAAGCCCGTTCAACTAGTGTATCATACTGCATTATCTAATTCTGTACAAAAAATTCAATTTTCAAGTGCATTCTAAAATTCGTACACTATATCTATTGCTTTACATAACTTAATTTTCTAAAAATGTGAATTTATGACATCTGTGTTTACCTAGAATAAAAAAAGAGTGGGTTTTTTCATCGTCGTCTAGTTTAATAAATTGTTAGAACGTGGGTACCTTATGCTAACCCATTTCTGATCAAATATCTTTACAGATTTTATCTTTTAATGTACGTTGACATTTTCACAGCTTTGAATTGGCCTAAACATTTTTTTATTGTCTTTTTTGTCCCTCTCGGTGGACCATCAGCCGATTTCACCAACATTTGTTAATGATTTAACTGATCGTTAATTATATTTTACAATAAGTTAGTGAAAATCGTTGTTAAAACAATTGTTAAGTTAATCAGCCGAAGTCAGCTTGTTAAAAAGTCAATTGGCATGTTAAAATCGAATTACTAATTGAGATTTAAATATACAATTATAATATTATCACTAATCAGTTATCACATTTCGTGATAGCCATTGAGAACGCTGGAATCAAGGTTAGGTTAGGTAAGGTTAGGTTAGGTCAACTAACAGTTTGTTAACTCAACAAATATAATTCAATAATAATAACAACGTCGTGGTGAACTGGTTACTTAATTTAACCCGATGTTCACTTTAAACGAATCGTTAACTAACATTATGTCAAGAGTGTGTGTTTAATAATCTGCATAAGCCAGCAGTCCTATGGAAAGTTCCTGGAATTTAACTCCTTCTTGTGGTATCATATTCATCTCCCTTATAACTTTCTCTACCACTATATTAAATACGATTGGTGACATAGTGTCTCCCTGTCTTAATCCCGATTTAACTAGTATTGGGTCCGTAGTTATATTTCCAACTTTAACTTTGACAAGTGTTTCCAAAATGCTTATCTCAACTAGTTTTATAAGTTGGAAGTTTATAAGTATGGAATTCCCCCATACTATTGATTAGGCTCTCTCTGTGTATGCTATCATATGCCTTCTTAAAAAAGAACATGTATTTCTCTATCAAACTCCCAGGTTTTTTGATATATTTGTCTTAAAGTAAATATCTGGTCGGTGGTCGACCATCATGGTCTGAAACCACATTGATAATTGCCAATAACTTGTTCTGTTTTTTCTTTTATCCTTGATAATATGCAATTTGAAAACATTTTATAAGCCACATTTAAGAGGGCTATCCCGCGATACGATAATATAATAAAAACAAATAAAATAATATAAATTGTCGCACATTATTATATGTATATCAAAAAAAATCTCATCTTACACTTTTATATAATGGCTTGATACAAAATACATATTATTGATAACATTTTCAAACGCAAAAAATAAACATTAATTTACAATTAAAAAAAAAATACATTTTAATTTTATTTCTTAAAATTTAACGAGTTTAATTTTATAAGAGTGGTCAAGAACTACAAATGATCTCTAGCTCTTTGATATTTTTATTATTTCTGCTTTTGAATATTTTTGATGCACATGTCACAGGTCAAAATTACTCCAGTAAGCTATCTATCGAGGATAACTTTGTTGCGTATGGTCGTGACTACGATAAAAATGAACATCCGTATTTAGTATCATTAATGATAAGTAAGACAATTCAGTGCACTGGTACCTTAATAAAACCAAAATTTGTGCTTACGGCTGCTCACTGTACATGGGAACGAAAGGCAAATGATGTTATAGTAAGCCAAAAATATTAAGACAGAAATTTTTAATACTTAATTTTATATGTAGTTTCCTGACAGGTAATTCACGGCGCAATCGGCCTCTATACAAGTGGGAAGCCAGACGATTATGGTGATATTCAAAGAGGAGGTAGAAATATTTGGCAGCACGAAGAATATCACAATACGTATAATGATTTGCCAGATATATCTATAGTTGAAGTAAATCACAATATTATATTATATAGTTAAACTGTATTACGAATTTCCTACCATAATTATTGAAATAATTAAAATGGTTCTCGTTATGTGAGAAGGGGTGTTTTATTTTTATTTGTCTCTAAATGCTTAAAATTTATAAAAAAATCCCTACTGATTACTCAGAATGGACTGAGATAATTATTTATGCGGTCTGTAGGCATACTCATGTCTGAGTTCAGACCATATAGTAACGAATCAGAATACCCCGGAAACAAGAACCTTATACTGTAATATTCTCAAATAATATTAAATCCCATGAAACTAATTTCGCAACTATATAAAAACAATATATTTTTTGTGAGACGCGAAAATAAAAATTCAACAATATTATAATTGCAGTATTAAATTATAAGCTAATTGACTATCGTTTACATTAGATTGAAATTATTATCTTCAATATGATAGGTCAAAATAAATAAAAACTTAATATAAGCACTTTGAATATACCATAGGGTGTTCACGTGAGTAGCATGAAAATAAATCGCTTTGAAAATATCTGATATTATGTGTTAGTCCGAATACTACATTATTTAGAAAATTGGCGTTCTGATAGGTATTGTATTCGTTTGATTGGCTTAGAATTTGTTAGTAGTAGATTTGAAAGTTACGTTTTTGTTTTTTTTTTTTGGCTCTTTTTTAAAATTGGCGTTGTGTACGGTACTGTATTCTAATGTAAATGTATAAATTACCATATTTGAAAAGATTAAAATAAGTTATAACAATAAAAAAAGGAATAGTACCTATGTATTATATTACATTTCATAAAAATGTGAAATTGTCACTAGTTATCTAGGCTCTTAAAATTCAATAGACCTGAAAAGATTTCCAATGTGGGATTCTAAAAATTAATTTTAGAGAAGAAGAAGAGTTTTTTATTTTACCATTATACTTATATTATGTATACTTATGTATGGGGTGAGGGATTTTCGAGACGTGTATTATCGTTAATCGAATTACAATAGCTTTAAATTTTTAATCTATAGACTAAATCGCTAATAAATTAACTAGCTTTTTATTGCAATAACAAATTATTGTTTTAAAGTTATTTCGCTACTTGGCTACTTCGTTATTTGATCAAACAACGAAGTAATTGAGTATCTCGCCAACCGAGCAACGGTATCGACCAAAACTAATAAAAAAATAAACTTGTTGTACAGATATCGAGACCATTCGTTTGTTCGAAATACATAGAAATAGGCGGCCATCCGAAAGAGTTTAGCTCCGACAGATCGGTCGATTGCATTGGAATAGGATTCGGCAACATGGAAACGAATGGCGTACCATGGCGTGTAGGAAAACAGTATAGTTGTCGAGTTAAACATGGTCCGAATGCATGCCCGAATATGAGCGGTATTATGTTCTCAATGATTTATGCGGAACAACTAAAACACGCTGTTGTGTAATCGATTTGTTGTTTCGCTCAAGATAAAATTCGGAAAATGTATTTGTGTGTCCAACAAGGCAAAAAACAGACATGCAGCGGCGACAGTGGCGGCCCTACAATTTGCAATGGAAAACAATATGCGGTTTGTATGGGCTCTTACTCCGCGAGCGGCAATCCAAAATTTAAATGCGGCGATTCGGATGTGGTAACGATGCATCTGTTTTTATACTTCTTTCGAGATTGGATTTCCGGTGTTGTTGGTCCATTAGAAAGTGGCGGAGGTGATGGCAGAGAGAAAGAAGAAGAGGGTAATGAGGACGACGACAATGGTGAACAGGAATACGGCGAGGAATACGCCGACGCGGCCTCAACGGTAACTATTCGTGCACGCAGCATTTTTTTACTAAAAATTATATTATGTACACTCGTTTTAAAATTTTCCCGTTTTAAAATTTTAATGTATTAAATGTACAAAATGTTTAACTGCAATATAATATTCATCGCTGTTTGGGTAGAGACATGTGTAATTTATTGTCCTGTAACGGATAACTTATATAGCTGACAAACCATAAATATCCAACTTTATAATTATTATTGCGATCGAGTTTTTTCGGGGAGTTTTTCTTTTATGAAAAAATATTTGACTACAGATTTTTGAAAAATACGACTACATTATAGAACCATACTATACTACGGACAGTATAATTTTCAGACAAAATAAAAAAACTACGCATAAAAAATCAAATTCATTCAAAATTTAATATACACCCATAATTTACAAATATTCATATTATATTATGTTAATTTCAATTTTTAATCCCAAAGTTGCCTTATTAGTATTTTTAGTCATTTTTAAAATAGCAACAAAAAAATCAAAAAAATCCTTCCATCTGGGAGTAGAGATTAAAAATATCTGGTACGAGGTGGTTTTGGGCAGTTTTTTACTAATATTTTTTTAATTTTTTATAAGTAATAAAAAAAATCTAAACGACCAAACGTCTTTATTATCTGACACGTATGCCATATTTCTACATTATGCATTAATACTAAAACACTTATAATTTAAGGTAATAAATGTCAACAACAACTGATTTAAGTTATATGTTACATATGTAATATTATATTAAAACAGTATAATAGTTTATTCAGGATGAATATACTACTCGAGAAAAATATTCGAGGAATTAACGTAACAGCGCGATTACCTTTAGAAGTATATTTTCGTTTTTGTGGCGTTTTACAGTTTACACGGTTTCTGAGAATATAACGATACTTTAAATTTGTAAGTGTAGTCAAACCGTTTATGAAGTATGGGAAACGGTAAAATGTAGATATATACATTTAAACATAAATAACACACGACACATATGTAATCGAGAAATAAAGCAACGAGTAAGTCACGTTTAGGTTATAGTAATACATAAAAATGAATATAATGTTAACTTCAATTATGGCAATTGGCATTACTATTGTTATATGGCCAATGTTCATAGATTCCAATATAAGAATAACAAATTCTGTCAATTTTTTTTTTTTTTGAAATAGTACATAGTTTGTAGAAATAACTTATGTTAAACAACGTCAAAACCTAGACGAAAATTTAGAAGTATAACTATTTTCTAAATGTTTTCTCGGAACATTTCCTAATATGGTGGAAAATATTATTGCTGTAAGTTGTGTAATGTTTGTTTGATGTTGAGACAATAATTTATTTTGTAAGATAACCATCAACTTCAACAGTGTGCAACAACTAAAAACGATTCATCTTTCAGGATATTGACTTCAGAGGAAATCTGCAATTATAACAAAACATCTGTAAGTCTTACATTTTTTTTTAGTACTCCATTATTAGTTATATTAATATTACATTCGTATTGAGAGTTTAAGACTATCGATAATTACCATCGGTTTAGATGTCTTAAAAATTTCAAATAACGCAAAACTACATCTTCGACAGCAATAAGTTACAAATAATTATAATATGTACTAACCGAGGGTAGCATGCATCGTTAGCGAGAGCAGTTTTGCTAACAATTTAGTAAGTTGAGTGTACTGTACAAAAGTTGTCTTGGTAAACTCGAATTTAGCCTGACATTGTGCGCAGCACGTTTAGTTTATTTAAGTCGTAAAATCACAGTTTCGTGCTATATTGAAGGAGTTGTGTACATAGGTACTTCTAAAACAAATGTTAAATTGTTTTTAAATATTTATTTAAAATGTGCGTTATTAATACCGGAGTATACTTTTGTGGTATTCTAATGTTTCAGGAATTCAATTTTTTACTGTCCATTTATATACGGTACATCAATAAAACTATAAAAACTACAATTGTCTACATTTAGATGTCGGCCATGCAATTTATGAGCACGAGAAGACCGTGATTTATAGTTTTACCACTAGAGCGTGTGAGAAATCCTGGGCCATTTCAAATGACCTCTGTGGTATAAATCATTCGGTATAATGTTATAATAATAACCCACAATACATGTATTGGAAAAAAAAAAACAATTTTATTGCACTGGTCAGGTCACAGGTGTAATTTAATAATTCAACGTGTATCATTGATATCATAGACAAACGGTTTATTTTTAAATAATACGATTTTTTACAAATATTTGTCTTTTACATAGATCCAAAATGATTTTGGTGACCTTGTTCTTAATTGGACGCTTCAAATTCATTTTTACCGCGCTACCAACAGAGTAGGTTTAATGCCTGTATGGTTGTTGTATAAAAACCCTAATTCAATACCGAAAAAATATAATCAATTTCTTGGAGTGCTTAAATAATAAAATTTATTTTTGTCATACTTTACCGAGTCGAAAAAAACGAGTCAACATTTTTTGGTACTATTAAAATTAAAAAGCAATGTATTGGTATTTTAAACACGTTATGTAGACATAATTGTTGAAGTCTGAGAAAAAAAGTCTTTTGGCCGATTCTGCTAACCACAAAAGAGCATTTTCATGTCTCGTTGAAGTACCGAATATTTTTCGCCCCTAATCTCTTACCCCTACATCCTTTCTCCTAACTCCTATCTGCTATCTCTTATCACTAATCTCTTATCTATAATTTCTTATTTCTGTACAGATACGCTTTTGTAACTAACACTTTTTTCGGTTATGTACTATGCAAAATTCTGTGAAGACTTGCCTGACTGTCAATGACCTTTTGAAAAAAAAAACTTAAAAAAGGTTTTGAAATTTTTCATTTTTAATGAAGTTTTTTTACAAATTGTATTTGATTAAACAAACTTTCCATATAATTTAAATTCTGTAAAATATGATTTGTACTTTATAATTACACCATTTTCAAATTATTTACTTTCATTTTGTCTAAAAGTTCTCAGTAAGAAGCCGAAGCTATGACATTTACTATCGCGGGAAAACTTAATCTTACTGGCAGTTTTTAAATGACATTCCATTCTATGATTTCTTTAACTTTATCGATCTAAAGAATTAGTGTAACGCTTGTTACAACTTACAACGACTACTATTTAGTCAGTGACTGTTAAACTACTTGGAGGACGTCTGAGGTCATCGCCTACGTGTTGACCTTCAATGCGTCGAAAAGGGTTGTCTACATAAACATTCATTCTATTGTTTTATAATGTCGAGATTATCTGACTTTTTTTGAAAAACTCTACCTACTACGAGTAAATTGTGTTTAGCTTTGTTTATAATAACGTTTTGAATTTTAAAACTAACACAAAAAAACCCTCTGATATCATTGATTGTAGTTTACCAATATTTAAAAACAAATAATAATTGTAATATTAATATATTAATTAATGTATTGAACGTGTTTTAAAATCGTTGAAGTAAAAATAAACTAAAATATGTATAAAGAAAATGTAATTTTTTTTTACTTTAAAATATGGTTTTCATAGTACAAATTATATTTATCATTAAAAACACCTTATTAACATTTTAATTTTAATTACATTATTTATAGATAAAGTAAGTAATAATATTACATTTAATTTACTAGATAATTTACAGGAAACAATTATTTCATAAATTATTTATCAGCTAAGACAAAGAAGAATTATAATAGTCTATTTTAGAACTGTGAATAGGAAAATGAGGTATACTCGAACAGATGGCCATAACATCGAAATATATACTCTGTCAGACTATAAAACATTACCATAATTAGGAAACAAAAATGTATTACAAAACCTATTAGTCAAATGTCATATTTTAATTTAATTCTTTACAATAATGCCACGGGTTATTTTCAAAGTATAACCTTTTATAATACTTTTTTCAATATTATAATATGTACTTACATTTAATGTAGATTTTTACAATAGATTTCAGTCATAAGTTTGTAAACTGCAATTCAATTAATAATTTGTACTTTATGTGCTATTAATTTAAAAAGTAACTATGTATTGCTATTGGGATTTTTTACTACATAATTTATTACACTAGTCATAATAGTGTTGTGGCTGGAATTAAAAAACAAACAAATTCAAAGTAGCCCTTTAAAAATATCTAACCGATAATTTATTTAAAAAATATTTTAATACAATATTATTTAAAAATATCATTTGAAAATAACTGTCACAATACATTGTCATCTTGTTTTTTAATTATGTACTTGGTAGAAAAAGAAAATACTATTAACACTTACATCGTACAAATATTTACTTGCAATATTTTTTGTCGACAAAACATTTAGAAAATGTAATACAAAAATTAATGCGGGTTTTTTTTATATTTTTGATTGACAGTTATTGTATACATTTAGATATGTATTGTCATTTATTTGTTGTCAAATTATAAAAACGGTTTAAATTGAAAAACATAATTTAATATTCATTAGCAAATTCAGATTTAGCCTTGTAAGTCGGTTACTTGTCTGAAGCGGAAGACATTGGGTAGAAGGTAGCAATGATGTAAACATAGATGGAAACGACCATGAGAAAGCCCAGACAAAGATGGATTAACATAGACTTATTAAAGAAAATAACCAATGAACATTGTGTGAACGGAAGTTTGCCTATGGCAGGAATTATGAAAGTGGATAATTTTGCCAGCGAACAGCCTTAATGACTATTGAAACAAAAATTAAATTGATATTAGTCATAATTATTATTATACTATTATTATGGTGCGTGATTTAAAAAGATATATATAACATAAATTATTCGACTACAGAAATAAAAACGTTATTTAATGGACAGTTAATTTTTTACAGCGTCGAATTTATTCAATATTAATGAGCTCGCTATTCAATTAGGTTACCAGTAGTTAAAAAATCCTCATTGTTTTCGAACAGCAAATATATTTATTTAGAAATATCACAAAAGGCCATATTCATTATTATATAATAAACTAATTTGTTATCAGAACAAGTAAATCCTAT